ACTGCGTCGAGGCGGCGCTGATTAAACAGCACCTTGGACGCTTCGTTGGTCGCTGGATTGAGTTTGCTGGGGGGATCTGGGACGTCAGGGCAGTTATTTTCTCTTCTAGTGCTAAAATTTTCCCATTAGCTTTTTCCTCTGCGGCTAACAGTAGCTTCTCAAACCTACTTTCAATGCCGATCATGTATTTTATCACCGGAGTCTTCATACAATCACTGCAAAACCAAAAACAGTCTTGTTGTGCTAGCATGTGTTTCATCTTTTTCATCGATAGTTTGGCGCATGCAGCGTGAAAAGTCTTTTGGCATTATGTGCATGGCATTCCTGTTTTGACCTCTTTTTCGCAGCCCGTTGAACCGCACACACCCAAACTTGCGTGGTTAATTGTGTTGACTATAGAGTCTAAATGGAGCGCACTAAAAGTTTATCACAAATGATACGCCAAAATAGTCAGGGATGTTTTCTTCACGGCACAGGGAACGAATCTCAAGTATCACACGAAAGAGATCTCCCCGATCAATTCTTCCAACACATTAACAACTACATGAGCTTTTTTAGTCTATTTGGGAGTTAAAGTTATTTGCTTCTTTTTCTCAAAAGTGACTGATGTAAAGTCTGTGACAACTGCCGAGGAATAACCCTCATCAATATAACAATCAAGTTTGCTACAGTCATCCTTTTAAACCGTTTGCTGCAGTAAGGAATGCTCACAACTGTTCAAACCAAAGCGGTTTACGCCGTGGAAGCCGTGGAGAACAGAATTTTAACCTACCCAGGATTTTGGAGCACCACCCCAATTTTTAACAGTCAATCACACTCCGTTTCAAAGATTTTATATTTGGACAAAACGGAGTACCTTGGAAGCAGACCATTTAAAAGAAAAACCGGTGAATCTCAGAAAAAAGTAGAGCAACAATGTCGGCGTAAGCTCTCGTAAATGGAGAAGAGTCGGTAGAGATCACCGTAAAATACAGAGTGTGCCAGTACTGGTAGTTGTCACCAGTGCTATAAAACTACACGTTAGACCAAATAATGCAACATGAACTGTCCAAAAGTCCCAGAACGCAAGTAAACCGTGACCCACAAACAATAGACCTGGAACTTGCGGACGAACTCGTCGTCCTCGGTGAGAATCCTACCACTTAAGGCCAACGCGACCAGGATGAAAGCCAATCCCACCAAAATGACGATTTTTAAACAAGACTCGTTTTCTACAACAAATCATCGAGGGACCCTTGGAAATACTCTATTAATTAAGTTATCAAGTCCACAATAAAAAAATGAGCGATCAATCCTCAAACGAAATCAAAGTGCGCAGGAGGAACCTTTGTGCAAATCCGCAAATCCCTCCGGAAACTCAACTGAGCAAACCTCGGCAATAAGACACACGTACTTTGGATTTCTCTGCCTTGTACTCACACAAGTTTGTAAAACCTGACCCCAAGAATCAAAGACGCTTGAAAAATAAAGTTAGTTGACCAGTGGTGCCTCCGTAACATCCTGAAACGTCGAAGTTTGCCAGCGCTGCCTAGAAATGTCAATGCTTCGTCTAACGTCACCGTTTCAAATAGTTTGGTTATATCTTTCGATCAGAACTTTGCTTCCTACCAACACCTTGTGCAGGATGACAATGCCATCTCAGTGGCAAATGAGAGACACCGAATTAGATTTGAAGCTCCTAGGATGTCACTCCATCTATCGCTGGCGCTTATGAAACCTGTACTGTATAAGAATCTGTACCGATCTGTCTGCTGACCACCACACACAGGCTGTTGCTCTCAGAAATCATCCACTAAACCGACTGATCCTCAGGCAGGAGTTACCAGCACAAATAAAATTATCCGACTTGATTTACTGTAAATATTGCATTAAATTGATACATAAAAATGTCCAGAGTAAAGGTATTCCTGTTAGTTACGTTTAAAATCATAAGCTGATGGTGACAGCATAAATATGTTTGTTTTCAATGTTTCAATGAAAACATATATGTTTGAATCTATAGGATAAATACAATCAGTATCAGAAAAAAACTATTTAAAAGACTAGTGTGAGAACCCAAAAAACACCAAAAGGTCATTTGTCACCTTGTCCATTGTCCCCGACAGCAGTGGTCTGATATTCGACACTCTAGACTCGGTAGAACGCGTGTTAATGATTCGATTCGGTGCCGTCCCGGACACTGAGCCACTCCTTGGTTCACTTGCGCTTCTGGTCACTTCCTCGACCGTCGGGACAGTCAGATCGGATGAGGAAGACCGCGGTTGCGACTGGCTATTGGTATCCGGGTCCGGGTCGATTGAACCTTGTGGTGCACCCGAGGCGGAGCCTGGTGGATCTGTTTGTTGGAATGAGTTATCTGAACTCGTGTTATGGGAAGAACTGAGACTGGTTGAAAGTTGATTTCGGGCGCGCGCAGTGGACTGGGCTCGACAGGCTTGCTGTATTGGGGTATGTGACGTTGACTGATTTCTTCTGGCAGTCTTTGAGGTAGATAAATGAAAATTCAATTGTTTACTGCGCGGCAAAATTGATTTCTGCCTCGAAAAACCAACGTCGTCATTTTACATAAATGTTATAATTATTGAAAATCGGGGACATAAAACCGAAGATATTGTTTTGTACTTTGTCATGAAGAATACAAGCAGTGCTTTTGCGCATTAGTATTTCGCTCGGGGTTTCCGATAAAACAGCCGAATTCGCGGACAAATGAAAGACGCACCAGTAAAACTTGCGCTATCGTCCGAGGCTTGATCACTGAATGTATTACACATTTTTCATTTCCTTCGGGCACCCAGTAGAGTTAGACACGCTAAACCTGGAAAGCGACATTGTATATGATCCCAAATTCTGTGGTTTATATTCTAATTGCATTTGGTGAGTAAGGGCGTCACACCAAACAGTATTTTTGAATACTACAAGTTAGTATTGTCAAACAAAAAGTGATGTGAGTTAGTGTTCATTTTTGGCAAACAGGTTCGAGTGACGCTTCAGTCATGCTCTGCATGCAAAGTTCGAACGCCTTCAATCTATCTAGTGGGATGGCAAACTGAAGGCCTTGCTCCGCATAGATCGCTTGTTTACGAAATATCCTACGCCAGTGAAAATATCAGTCTTTTTCCGATTTATTCATTGTGGGCAGTGCTCTTACTTGATTTAATCTCAACCCTTGAAAAATGAACTAAAGAGACAATTAAATGAATTAATTCACATGGAGGAGGCAAGTTTGCGCAGTTGGTTTGTCACTTAAGATGAAAACACCAGTGATGTAGATAAAAAAGGATTTGAGTGCGACAGCAAGAAATGTTGAGATGACTTGGTGTAGGACAGCTTGCTGTCATCCGGCTCAATACCAGGCCTAACCTTTCGGAGTCATACGCGGTTTGCCACTCCAAGTCCTGGGGTATTGGTCTCCAACACTGGGCAGCAGGTCTTTGTGACTATGAGGCTTTTTGCTTTTGCTGTTCGTCACATTAAGGTGTGTATTTCGGTATGTGCCAACCTAATTCAGAGGAATTTTGTTGCCTAGATAACTAACCAGTAGTTGCTCGGCAAGAATGAGGTGAGTATTATTATTGTCTCGCACTCATTCTGAATAACCAGTATCCTGAGATATTTGGCGGATGATTGCTATTTTTCCAGGGAAAAGCAAAACAAATTTTTGGAATCTAGAAACTGAAAAACGCCAATATTAGGCTTGTAAAAAAGTCAAACGTTCACTATTGGAATTCACTATTTCCAATTTTGAGTGACACATAATATTATATTCCTCAGTGATTGGTGTTGAGGCTGTGTTTTGCCAATTCACCAAGCTTGATAATTCTATTGCAGACAGTGCATCTACCACCCGAATCTACATTTTCATTAGTTGTGCGGTGACAGTATTCTTATCTTCTTCGCGTGTTTTGCATAGGTATTTCCTTGGTGATGTTATAGTTCCTTATTCCTGTTGTTCTCAATTCAGTTCACTATTGAATTAGTACCGAAAGGGAAGGGGAGAGGGTACAAATGATTCTTTTGTTTCGCCTGAAAATGTACAAATTATCGTCGGATTACAATGTGACCCTGTTTTTCTTGCGTCATTTGATCCATGAGTCGCATCAAACTGTACGCATGATGTGGTTCGATAAATTGATTGAAGAATGCCAAGCCTCGAGAAACTCACGGGAGTTATTGTAGCTCTGAATGTGGGGAACACACCAACAACAACTCATTGGAGAGTTTTGACCGGGCTTGATCAATGATTCTTACTGAGTAAAAGTCAAACTTTCATGTTTCTCCACCTTCCGGGTCTGAAATAATTCTTCTAAATGTCAGCTGGTGTTGATATTGCTTATGCAGTTCGTTCAGTGCTTTGTTTTGCTGCTGTTGTCTTTCAGCATTGTTTTCTCTTTCGGCTCCGGAAGGATTCTCTGTAGACCAACGGTCAGTTGAAGTACAACTTGAATTCCGTACAGTTTCAGCAATCTGACCAGCAGATTTAAAATTTCCTGGATGCACGGCAAAGTTTTCTTATTCTCGAACCTCCATCTGTTGGCTATTTGACCCTGTGAGCAAGATTTCGATTGATGAAGTTCCGGGTGTCTGTGAGCCGGTGTGTTGGAATTATTCTGAACATGGTTCTAACATAGTAACTTTTGTGGAATTTTGGATTATTGCTTTTAGGGTTTATGACTAGATTAATATGCGTTGCTTTGCGATAAACCGTTGCCCCAGTGCTTACCAAGGTCGTTCTGACTACCCTGATATCAAAGAATGTTTGTTCGTCATCCTTCCCTACTGAAAATTTGATGTCGTTGAGCATGCTATTGGTGTTACTGTGTTATTTCTAGCTCCGAAATTTTCAAAATACCAAAAGTCTTATTACCGTGTCGTTGCTCAATTTTCTGATTGAGTTTTGGTGGTACTTTCTTATCCAATTTTTCTGCATTACGATTTTGTTTATGAATACGCCCATGGATGGTCCCCCTTGAAGTCCCCTAAAGTTGCTCGCAGGTTTCACCCCCGAATACAAAGCATGTTCGCGAACGAAGTTCAACGAGTTCGCAGCTGGAAGCCGGTTCCATTGCTTTGTTTGATATATATATATATATATATATATATATATATATATATATATCACCCTTGTCTGAGGACAGACTGTGTGCCAAGCAAGTCGTGGTACAATAATCTTTGTAAAAAAGGAAAAACGTTCCATTACTGGCTTGTGGGCTGAATACTGCCAGGTTGCCCAGGCGGTTGGTATTCACTTATCAATCTCCACAACAAGAATCTCTCCAATTTCAAATCAATTGAACTGAATGATGCGGTAACGTCGAAGGACGCCATGAATTCATCCTTTGGTATGTGAACAATTTTGATTTAGTCCAGGAACTCTTCCGAGTTGAATACTCCATTTTGCTGTCATACATTAAGCGGTCTCATTCATTTCCATAATTCTTTTACCAGGTTGTATATGGCCGCCCCCGACAGGGAAAAAACTACTGTTCTCGGTGGAATTTCTTCCTTGTGTATCTTTGATGGTCCGAAGAATTGTACGACAATGGAGGTTTTCCTTTTATCCTCCAATGCTTCTCTTTCATCATTTGATGTAATTAGTTCAGCCCTTTATTTATGGCCTTTGCTTTTTTATTTTGCTATGGGGTCCGTCACTGTTCGGCGGTAGTTGGATGTGTCTTGAATTGGTTTTTTGGCCTTTTAACTGTACTAAGCTGTGGTCACGACAACAGTAACTCATCGTTTACTATTGGGCAGTTTTCCAGTCTTCAGTGCTTTTAACGCTTTCTCCTCGTGTTTTAATGGAACGTTCGATTTCCTTTTTCGCGGTAGGGCTGGGAAAGACTGTTTGCAGGACAATGCTTTATTTTCATAACGTAGCACAATCTCGATTTTTACAGAATGGGAAACATAAGATCGCTGTCGAAGGCTACACACCAGTCAGACTGCATCCATTTATCCGTTATATTTGATCCTAAATACAAGAGATTCGTCCAAGTGGATTTTTCATTAACTTTTTCTCTGGAAATTATGGAAAAAACAGGTTTTCCCAGACAGATAGACAAAATTGTGGCTTGGTGTTCAACGATGGAGAATAAGAAAACAAGACGCAAAGCATTGGAACCCAGGCTGTTAGAAATACTTAGATTATATCTCAACCGCACTTGCTTTGCTATTACCAAAGTCCACGTTGTAAAAGAACTTACCCAGCGGTTAACCTTATGTATAAAGCAGAAATTTACAGAAAGAGATACTATGGCCTCTCGAACGATGAATATAAAACAGAAATCGAGCAGATAGAAAGCTGTCGGGATGCACTAACTGCAACTACTAACAGATCGCCCTCGAAGCCGATTTGGAATAAAGCAATTCTGAAAAAACTTACTCTTCGACCGGTCACTGAGGTCGATGCAGCTGTACGCTGGCGAATTGCCCGTACTGGGGCATTGACAGTGGAACGATTAGCGGTGACGTTGCGAGCTCGATTCCGCTCCAACCGTTTGAGCCCGGTGCGAACTCCGGCACGACATTTTGGACAAGTGCTGGATTGATTGAACCATATATCGATGCATTTGGAATGAAAAGCATGACCGCATGGTAGATGACGCAGCCGATCCTTATTCTGATATTCCGCTACAAATAACACATTATGGAAAAAAGCAGTGAATTGGTCTGACGTTGTTCGGCATTTGAGTGATGAAAGACAAATCAAAAGTTCAACAAATGTATATTTAGCTTCCTCCTGCCCCTCTTGGAAATTGAACCGTTCACATATGGAGTTGTCACTTAACGCATGCCGTTTAGAATCAGAGTTTAAAAACATTCATTTCTAACAGTATGGAGTCAGGATTGACGGACAATGAGACTTGGTTGGTGATGTCAGCTCGAGCAGACAATAGTTCGTATAAATATGGACTGATGCGTATAAAATGATTTGGCGAATGGTGTTGCAATTCAGTTCAGTTCAGTTCATATTGTCATGAACTTTGCACTATCCTCGAACAGAGATAAGGCAGTAGACAGGAGAAGTGGAAATCTGGATGGAGTAGAAGGACAAAGATATGATATGCAGTTAGCCTCAGTTGGCCAAGAGATCTTATGGATTCAGTCGCAGCCTTCCGGTTATCTAACAAATGGTTCAACTGATTCCGAGGTATGAAACCAATTCAGCAAGCTGATAACTGAATAAATATACGTTACCACCACTTTGATTTGGAATACAGACGCACAACTTGATTAACTGTTCTGTGCTCCAAAAACGATGATTCACCCTATCCACCATTACAGAGAGTTTTCTTTAAATTCCCCTTTTCACATGTATTCACATGCAATCTCAGCAAACGATGCAACAGTGGATAAGTTGGCTAAAGCAAATTAAAAAACAATCCCATACGAAATTACACCAACACGCCTGTGAACCTATGCGCCAAAGCAGATCAGTTTCATTCCTGATATTTTCCCCAAATAGACATATTGCAAAATTCACAGCAGCTAGTCCCCCCCCTCACGAATGGCTCCGAATTTAAGTTGAGCCAAGCAAATATGAGACCGACAACGATCGTGCCAACTGAAACCGCACGTGAATAGAGCAGTTCAAGGATTACAAGAGTACCGAAGAATAAACGAAACTGGCCGAAGCTATGCGCAAATAGGAATAAAAAATAAAATCCGTTCGCATAGCTCGCTAGGTGTGTGTGTGGCTAACAATCACGTGAACTGATTGTTCACCCCTAACCCATTTTGCACAGCAAGTATAACAAGTATAATGTTAATTACATTATACTTGTATGGAACGGCTTTGGTTGTTGTCTTTTGGTTGCTCATCTGGACGAACGAGTAGAGGGTGGATTGGAATGTTGCAAACAGTTTCCAGGTGAAAATGTGGACTTACGGTTTCAAGGCCACTAGGTAGAGACACACGAGCAATGATCACGAGATCCCAATCCAGGAAGTCTAATGTGACCCATGTGAGGAAGTCTCCTGGTGCTGTTTTCATACCCCCATACAATATCAAACCACAAATTATAGCAACCGAATGGAAGGCAGTCCCATTATCTTATCACTCCACTTTTTCACGTTTTCTGTTTCTTGACTTGATGCACAGTATAGGGTTTCATTCTGAAATTTGATATCCCGCAATGTGCCATCGATTTACTTGCTAGGAAAAGATNCACACGTTGCCCATTAATTGAATGGCTGAAGCATACAATCGACCATTTATGAACAATCGAATGCTGGCACTTCGTCAAAGTGATCAAATGCCAAACGAGTCCCTTTTAGGCGTGCCAACATTTTATATGGAAGTTTTCTGTAGGGAAAAATGTTGCTGTCAAACTAGCAAAATTTGTTTAGCTTCTTTTTCGCCCCCTTACTACGGTGACTTTGTGAGCTAGTAAACCGATTTCCAGGACATCATTTTACACTTTGAGAGTGCAAGATAGATGTTCCACATGGGTGCATAAACACTGAGACCACCCAGAGATGTTTGCGATTCACTTTGATCTACATTCAGCAGTGCAACGTGACCGGCGTACCATCAAGGAGAATACGAACACCGTGTTCCTCACATGAGGAGAAGGTAGTTTCTGAATTCATGTCTATTACGGGTCGATTCTATGGATCACCATTACGATATATATATATATATATATATATATATATATATATATATATATCGTGAAACAGCTGTAAAAAGGATGCCACCAAGAGGTAGAGTCTCACGAAGTTTACCTACATGATTCTACGTTCACGGCGATTTCGCAGGCCTTAATTCAAGCATGCTAGTCTGATGGCGTGTTCACTAGCAAATCACTGTCATCCTAGTTTCGAAACGCGTAGTAATCGAGTGTAACTGGGTTAGCAAGGGAGCAAAACATACCAGGCAATTATTTTCCTCACTGCTTCAAGGTATCCTACGAAAACATCCCATCCCTTTGGAATTAGAAATATGTTGTAAAACATTGATTTAATCCAAGGAGATTTGTTCAAAACCTGAGCCTATTTTATGTTATTACGGATAATTTGAAATGAATAGAGGAAAAATCAATGTTCACGTTGGAAGCGAGCCACTGTTGTATGTGTGCGTGTGGGGCACCTCGAACCAGTCGACTGGAAGAAAGAAAGAAATCAGATTATGAGATCTTCACCGAGTGGGGACAACAGTAGGACAATCTGTCCACAACGGCCACTCGGGTCAACGTTGAGAAAACCAACAAATGCAAAAAGTCAAATACACAAGTATAGGATGAATAAGAAATTGGTCCCCAGGCAGAGATGATCAAAAACTACCAAAACAACGTAGGCCACATATAGTTCTATTGTTTGGCTGAGGATCAACAGTACATGAACGAACACGTGCTGATTTTTGACTGCGGACATCAATTTTAGGTTATCCGATCTATAACCTTGAAAAGGATCACCAAGTTTTGAAACTTTCATTGGAGACCGATTGTTCATCCAGTCCGTCTCGTGTTCTTCAAAAGCATGGCCAATCTACACCATACCACTACTTGCAGTTTGACCATGGAGACATTTCCCAAAAGAACATTCTTTAATTTGTGTATTAAGATTCGCGCGGGGAGGTACTCATTTTTTGTGTTTGATTGTTCACTGAGCTCAACAGTTTGAGAATAAAAAATTCAGGACCAGCTCGAGGTTGCGACACCAAACAAATAGATCCGCTGACCAATAGCAAACATTAGCATCGAGGAATTCATCAAAACGGAAACAGTTGCAGCAAGCAGCAGAGTGAAGGCTTCATCATACCGAGTCTGAAAAATATTGTACGGTTGATCTAATTGCCTTATGTTAAGGTTAGCAAAAAACCTAACAAATACAGGCTTATTGTATGTAAGTAATCAACTTTTTCCGACTCTTTTTTCATGTACACAAAAAGCAGATGAAATTTCAGAAGCCATTCACATTCGCCAGTATCTAGTTGCGTAACATGATTCACAATTTTGTTATTCTCAATTGCATGGCACGTACTAAGACAGACTTCACACTCGGGAAATCCGCGACCGGGTGACGATTGAAGCGGTTGAATTTCCACAAGGGTAGCCAGCCGAGATATCGGTTGTAAATAAGCCGATCCGGGTGAAAAGTCCACATTGCTCTCGTTCCTGTTGCGTACGCAAACCGGTGTGCCGGAGCTGTTCGCAGGCGAATCCCCCGAGGAATTGGCACTCTCAGACAACAGTCCGGGCTGAACGCGAAAGGTGCTTAGTGGGAGTTTGGCTAGTTCGGATGCAGTCAGACGGCCGCATGGCTCCGAGCGATTGGTTGCAGGTGGTGGCGGTGCCAGTGATCGGCGAGTGTTAGAATCGTACCATTGTAGACGACTACGATCTATCTGCACAGGATCAGTATTCATGTGTCTATTTTTGGCATGCGAGGGGGGAATCACCACAGCTATGGAGTTATTGTTCAGTATCATTGAATAAGACACTACTCAGAACATACTTTCTGTACAGTGGCCTGGCAGAAAACGGAACCGAAAAAGCGGTCCACTGCTAAGAGAAAACAGCAAACAAACAAGGAAGTGTTTATCTTTAAAGAAAAATCAAATATAAAACCAAGAATTAAGGGAAAATCGATTGGTCCACGGACCACTTTCTCAAGAAATCAATATATACATTGGAAATCAGAAGGGCGTGACCGAAGCTACCGGAAAAATTACGCAAATAGTAGCTAATGTATGGCCAGCTTATTCGATGAATGTTTTTGAATAATAATTTGTGTTTGATCCGCAGGCGTCTCCATCCACTACGAGAGTTGGCTGGAAATCGCGAACCGGGTTCGTTGGTGGCATTTTGTGACAACTCTATTGGCACTGGGAGCCCCCGGAGCCAACCTTCGGCCATGCATCACAAATTGATGGCATCGCTAGGCTAAATCCTGCATGTCACATCCTTATCAGTTTACCTTCTGAAAAGTTCACACTGCGGATTACCATACACCTGAGACGCTCGTTCCCGGACTCTGTTCTGGTTGTTGAGTAATCATTGGGATCATGAGATAAGAAAACAAACATTGGTTGTTCANGGTTGTTCACCATCGCGACAACCTATATCCGTTAGTTAGATGGTATTCAGCACATCTCGTAACTGAAGACCTCAGAGAGCAAGCGGCAAAAAATGAACGTATGGACTTCGTGATTTTAGATTCCAAGGAGCAAAGCAGAGAAATTAATGTCAAATTAGTATTCTTCTCATCCAAAGTTAAAAAATAAATAAATAGTAGCCATCATTTGTTGATAATTATTTCACAAATGACTCAACTTGATCACTGAGAATCAGTAACTAACCATACAAGGTGATTCACAGAGAGGAAAAGGAAGCAATCCATCCAACAAAATTAAAAATATCGGCCTCGAAAACGTGAAATACCTTACAAGAGGGACAGCATGATGCGATTCTTACACTATTGGCTTAGATCTGTCACTGAATACATGCATTTTACTACAACTTTGATAACAAAGACGTCGGTCGAACTATTCTCCTCCTTGCCCCATCAGATCAAATATTCAACACCTTTGGCAACTTTCCATTCAGTTTGGATGTGAATCGTGTTCATGTCTCAATGGACATCTTGGTTCATGGTGTTCGTATTGCAGATTGTCAGATAATCCTTTCCACGGAGAACCTACTTCCTGTTCATCGGTGGTTTCAGTTCACGTGAGACTAGACCCGCAATCGGTTGTCGCGAACATCCGTTCATAGGGAATATTCTGCTGCATACTCCAGCCCAAGCATATTACGAATGTGATTCAGGAACTGAAGCTCAGGTGCTGAATAGGAGTGTTTTGACTTGATCTGAATGTAGAATGCACCCAAAAGGATCTCATGAGATCTAGGAGGACACCTTTGAAACTGCGAAAAATCAACTTCATCCATTGAAAGGTATCTGCGTCAAACACAACTGGCTGCTGAAATGGTCGAGGTCAAACCGCTCCATTTATGGTGTCGCTCTACAAGCCATTATAAAAGAATACGCGACACTCTTGGGTCAAGAAGTGTGAGATGAATCTGCCTCTATGAGGCTGACCAACGGAGATGCAGCAAAATCAATTCGAAAATAAACGATGGAATCACGCCTCTGTCTAATCTGCCATGCAATCCTCGGAAATACGTGCATGGAATTTATTCGTAGGAGAAACGCCAGTCTTAGGGAAGATAAATTTTATATATCTTCCATCTTCTTCTGGTTTTCTTCATGCTACTTTAGAGTAATTTGGCTCGAGGTAGACATTAGAATATATACTAATCTTTTTGTTTGAGGACTATGACTTCTATCGATCTGTTTTCGGAAATCTTGGTGCTCCACGTTGGTAGTCGACTACCGTATGTGTGATTCAGTTATGTATTTTCACATCTATCTATCTATCTGTAATTCACGATCAGTATATCGGTACTGTGATATGTTTAGCATACTCTGGGTTCAGACGTGTGTGAAGTACATATCAGTATGCTCTTAACAAGCTTCTCAAATCTATTCGACAAAACTCTTATCCTGACGTCAAACAGGAAATACATTAAACAATGGACAGCAAACATATGCACAAGAACTTGGGCAAAACACAGTCGTAGGTGTTGTGAACGTAATTGTTTGTCCTCTACGATGTTTTTTTCCAATATGATGAGGCGACAATCTATCAGGCTGCCGTCTTTATCCTACGCTCGATTTGCAACAATCCACTAACGGACTGATCTATCACTGACACGCCTCTTTTAGTAAACCATACCGATCCAACTAATCAGATACACTGAACGTTGACTAGAGAAAAGCAAAAACAAAAAGTTCGAACTCACCTGCCCCATCTGGAATTAACAGACGGTCGTTCGACTACTTCACCATTTAGAGTGACACCGGTACTACGCCTTACATTTTGAGGGATGTGAGAAATATCCCTGCGAAGTGCAAGCAGAAAAACAGAACGGGCTTGATATTAGAGAACTGTAAGTAATTTTCAAAATTTTATGAAGTAGACAAACTCGGAAAGAAAATTGTTAATTAAATGAAGGCAACTGCAAACCAACTGCGCCCGCCCTTCGATTGGCTGCGCTACGTTTTGTGTGCTCGTCGTCTCACTGGATTTTATGATTATCTCGATGTCCAACATGTTCCGGACCCATACCTACTCTCGTCAGGATATGCTTACATTGAAATTTATTACTTCTGTGCCTCACATAACTAATATGCTTGGAGAATATGGCAATCATGCTTGGATCAAGAAGCGCAAGCGTGCTGGATGG